AAAAAAAAAAAAAAAAAGGCAAGGGGGCTCAGCTGTGGCCAGGAAGATCTGGGTAGAACTGAACATCTGATTTTGGTGCCTTTGACTGCTCTTCCCCGAAGATGGCATGAATCTGGAAGGCAGGGTCATCATCTGTGTCTGAAGGAGGAAGAACCTGGCCACGGATGGATGAGTCATCCAGAGCAGCAGGACCAGGAGCAAAGAGACCCTGGTGTCTTGAGTTTAGGTAGCTCAAGTACAAAGTTGAAGGAAAGACTCAGAAAAAGTCCTACTTCTTGCAGTAGGGATAACAGCTCTCATTGCTGCAATAATTATTAAGTTTTACTTCAGGGATAGAGGAAACCTTTATTTCAAGGATAAAATTTTCCAGTCTTGCTAATTTTTACAGATTGAGGAGGGTACTTTAGATGCAAGATAGATAGATAGATAGATAGATAGATAGATAGATAGATAGATAGATAGATGATAGATAGAATGTCTACAACAGAAATGTAAATGTTTGCCTTGTCTGCTTTGATCTTTTCAGGGACAGTTTCTTAGCCAGGAGCTGCTCTGCATCTGACCTTCAATCTTTGTTGCTGCCACCACTGTGATTTAGGGTTTAGCTCTGTGGCCCTTCCTTTGGCCAGAGAGAAGGGAGCTGGGGAGAAGAGGGTAGGAGGAGAGAACACCAGAAACTCATTCCAAAGTAAAGTTTTGGCATTCAACACGGTGCTTTAAAGTCTGAATTTTAATAAACTTGAATCCAATATTTTCCACACTGCTTAAATCAGTGTCTTAGTTTTTAGTTCATCTAAAGTTAAAGACTTGTAAATTAATCCATCAAGATTTGCAACAGGAATTCTCATACTTTTGGGGCGTACCGAAACCAGGGCCTTTGCACTAAACTGTGTCTCCTCTTTTATTTTTATTCTGAGACAGGCTTGAACTTCTGATCCTCCTGCCCCAACTCCCTAGAGTGCTGGATTACAGATGCTGGCCACCGTGCCTAGAGTTCTTGTATCTTCTGTGTAGGGAACCACTTGGAACCCAGTTTTCTCTCTTCCATCTGGAGGTTCTGCCTCCCTGGAGGAGAATAGGCCCAGGAAATGGCCTCTGTGCCTGGCCTGGCAAGTGTCTATGGCTCAGCAGTCACAATCTTGACCCCTTCTGGGCTGGGTTAGGCCCCCAAAAACCTCTTCTCTTCTGTTACTTCTTTCTGAAGAAGGATGGGTAACTGCTCCTCTGGAGATGAGGAGGACAGCCAGGTTTCTGTGACCTGGATCCCTTTCTTGCATTTGTATGGCTCTTTCACAAACACACTGAAGCTAAAAACAGCAGACTCCTTTCTAGTTATAAATGGGAAAAGTGGGCACTACCAGTGAGGGAATGGGGTTGGTTAAATACAGTATGACATTTTGATCCTCTGGAGCCAAAGCCATGAAGAGAAAATGGATAAAACCACTATCAGTAGCCCTTAATGATACTGATATTCTTGCAGGAAAGGAGTTTTTTCCCTGTGATCTTTGTGTGGAAACCTTATTAAGGGGACAGCATAGTACTGTATTTATCAAGAGAATCAGAAAGTTTGTGTAGTGTGGCTTATTTCAGCAAGAATGTAGGGAGGAACATGTGTGTGTTTGTGTGTGTGTGTAGATATATATATATATATATATATCTACACACACATATATGTAAGAATTACTTATATATGAAATATATATGATATTATATATATTTGGAGATGATAATTTAACCCAATTTCTAAAATAGAATAGGCACTTAATATATACTTGTTGAAAAAATGTATGTATTTTTTAACAGACCTTGTTTCAAGCTATGTAATATAGACATATGAGACATAGAAATAATTTCTATTATTCCTTTTCAGAGAGCTGTGATAGTTTTTACAATCTCAACTGCCTACTGTTTGGTCTGACTGTCAAGAAGCGGCAGGTACTCAGTTACACACACAATTAATTATTAGCAATTCTGACCTGACCCCAAATGCAGAGGAGGTTAGGGTGCAGTCAGTTATGGAAAACACACTGCTGAGGCTGAGGGCCACTTGGACTCCTACACTGCTCAGTGTGGATGTTTTCTTACTAATGCTGTCTTGCACATGCTAGCATTAGGGAAAAGATATGAATTTGCTAAGAAGAGTTGGCAAGCCACAGAGACACGTTACACATATAAAATCTTAAAAATGTTAGAATAGAAAAATAGCCAGAAAGGCCCAGTATATTGAACAGCCCACACCCATTTCCACATTGTTTGTTAGCTGTCATCAACAGATCACGAATTTCTCTGCCAATCCCTATCAAGGCTATTATTGCACACTGCCTGAAGACCTCCAATAATTTCATCTTTCATAAGCCAACAGTTGTCTGAAACCTTCAACTATCTTTTGAAATGCACCTCCATTGAGGTTTGATAAGCTACCCTGGAGTCCCCACAACTTCTTGATGGAGTCACCCAAGAGCCACTCTGATGGCTCTTGTGAGGCTGGGGTCGTTTCCATGGCAGTGTGAGCAGTGATTCAAGAGCCTTCTGGTACCCACTGTGCAGGCTCAAATTCCCACTCCAAAATGGGAGGCCTTGGGCAAGTCGCTGAATGACTGTAATCTCAGTTTCCTATAAAAATGGTACTAATTATGATGACTATCTTTATCCAATAGGTTACCATGCAGAGTAACAGGAGCAATAAATAGGATAAAGCCAGGCCTTCGCACATAAGTCCTTGGTACATGTCAGTTGTCATCACAACAGCATATCTTATATTGAGCTGAATTTAGGTCACTCTGGTCCCAGGCAGAGGGGGTCCACTATCAGTGTCCTTGAATGACACTGAAGAGCAGGCTGCTGGCTTTAGGACTGTGACATATCTGGACTTGCATAATGCTTGCCCCACAGGTATGCCAACCGTGGTCAGCAATGTGACCTCTCCAAGCTAATCACTGATCATTTTTACCTACTTAGCACAGTTGGTAGGAATAGTATGTGGGAGCATGCTGGTGAAACTGCCTGTTATAGTTTATGTTTAGATGTCTCTCCAAAGCCTTCTGCACTCATAGGTGGGGCCTTGGGGAGGTCATTGGATCATGGTGGGGTGGTGATACTCAGGAGTGAATTAGTCCACTGATGAGTCTGTAGCTAAATGTGATGTTGGGAGGTAAAGCCTGGTTGGAGGAGGAGGGTCCCCGGGGGTGTGGCCTGGGAATGGTGCGTCTCCCTCCTGCCTCTCTTGACCTCTCTCTCTGTTTCCTGCCACCATGCTGTGAAGGAACTCTCGGCCCCACCCCGACCCAGGGATCGAACTCAGGACCTTGCACTAGTGAGGCAGGCACGGCACCACTGAGCTAAATCCCCTGCCCCAGTGCTGTCCTGTCTTGGAACCTGCAGACTATGGACTGAAACCTCTACAAACTGTGAGTCAAAATAAACCTTTCCTCCCTTAAATTGTGGGCATTGGATATTGTGTCTCAGTAACCAGAAAGTAACTAAGAACCTGCCTGTTCTTGTTAAATGTTTTTGTTCCAGTAATGGCCTTAGATGTTCTCAGATTACATCTATAAAAATCTGGGGAGTTCTTGCCAGCCACTACTACTGATGTCAGTATCTTATACATTGAGATAATTAGAGAAATAATTTGGGAAGGAGAACATCTCCTTTCTAAGCTAGTTGTCTACTCTGTGTAGAAACAGATGCTGGTTATAGATAGTATGATGTCACTGGGAAGCCTTGGAAGTTGGTACAGAGAACCCAGGACACAGAATAAACGGACCTCAAGTCTCATCTTGATTTTGTTACTGACTTACTACATGGCCCTTGGCCATGTCCCTAGGCCTCTGTCTTTTCACAAGTAAAGGGTAGATTGGCTCAGGTATTTTCCAAAAGGTCTTACTACTCTAAAATCTAACCTTTTTGAGTACAAATCAGTGATATATTTTATGCCTCTACATTGACTGGCAAGTGACATCCAATCACCCAGTGTTGTCAAAGGAATGTTAATTGGTAGAAAGATTTGCTTTTAACATTGCAGGGTGTCAATAGGGTTTTGTTTTATTTTGATTTTTGTTTTTTTTTGGTACCAGGGATCAAACTTGGGACCTTGTGTTTGTGAGGCAGGCAGCGGCACCACTGAGCTAAATCCCCAGCCCTATTTTGAATACTACATGACCCAGTAAAACCATTGCTGTTATTGATCAAGGGGCTGGCCTGTAGAACAGTAAATACTAGAGGCTCACTTAAGAAGGATGCACTACTCAACTAAACCAGTACAGAGTCCTTGCTTATTTATGATGGCTTGTCATTAGGTCATATAGATCATGGGTACAGCAAAAACCCCCTCTCTACTTTTAACCCAAGCACAATGAAAACCTGAGTTGCTGACCCTTAGGAAAAACAATCAAACCAGTTTTGACTTAGAGACACAGACTGAATCACCAGTTTAGTGATTTAACCAATTAATCTGATTGATAACCATTTAGTGATGAGGCCCTCAAAAGTATCAAGTGATTCAAATAACTGTGTGTGATTATATATATGATAGTGTGAAAGAGTTATACAAACAAGAGAGAATTCAAGTGGGAATAATTTCAACATTACCTTAAAATCTCCCCTTAATATGAATTGATCTAGGATGAAAACTCATATAATTCTATTATACATAGCAAACACCCTGTGAAATTAAAAAAAGGAACCCCAATATTTACTTTAGATATAGTCTCTGAACTTTGAAATGTCTATAAAATGGGTAGATGATATGACAGTCCTTTTCTATTGGAGGTTGTGTTAATTGTTGCTAGGGAACTGGTAATAAATACCTTACAAAATTCCACAAATCAACATCAGCAAACATGGCCCTGAGCAAACCACCATCCAATGACTAATGATTAACAGGTATCTGAAGCTTTGGTACTTATATTGTTTTTCACTTTTGTAAAGTCACCTACTAGGCATAGATCCTCCCCCCATGCTGGGATGGAGTCCAAAGCCTTGCGCATGGCAGTCAAGTGTTCTACCTCTGAATCGTATCCCCAAACCAACACAGAAAGAATTTAATCCATTTCATCTTCAGTCTAAACCTTAATACTGACCCTTCTCTTTAATTTCTGATTGTTTCCATCCTAAAAATCTGGACAATCCTGCAACCCCTTTGGATTGTCTTTCCATCTCTTCTCTTTCTTTTCCCTCCAGATTTGTGGAGCAGTAGTCTACCGCCACAGCAAAGTCATGTAGTTAAATGAACTGCAGAAGTGGATCTCAATCCATTTCTTTGGCACGGGGCCATGTCTTTGGTTTTGGTTTGTTCTTTTGATCTTGAGTCCTTGCACTTTTGAGGCAGGTGGTGGCACCACTGAGCTAAATCTCTGGCCCGGGGCCATTTTTAATATACCCTTCCTCCTTTTCCTTCTAGCCTTTACCCCCACCCCCAGGTATGTAAAGAATATTTTCTGAGGATTTACAGGCTTCACATTCTTTTCCATTCTCCCTATTAGTTGTTTCATCCTTTTGATGAACTACCTCACAAGTCTTCCAGTTGATGGTCTTGCTTCTTGTTACTCCGTTTTATACCACTGTCAATGGACACAGCTCTGTTGAAAGCATTCCTTTGAACAAAACTCCTAATGGTTTCTTGTTATCTACTAAATAGGGTCCAATTTCCTTACTGAAGCATTGAAAATCCTCCACAATTTATGTGTCCAGTTTTACTTTTTTTTTTTCAGTTTTACTTTTTATTTAAAGTCTATGCTATTGCCAAACCAGAATGAGTCTTGAATTTTCCCACTGCCTCAATCAGACCAGCCTTTTTTTTTGTTACCAGGAATTGAACTCCAGACCTTAAGCTTGTGGAGCAGGCGGCAGAACCACTGAGCTAAATCCTCTGCCCTAGATCAGCCTCTTGCAGCACATTTTTGGTTGTTCTGGTGGCCCAAGGGTGCTTGAAATATGGGGGTGGGGAGGGAAAATTTCTCTACACTTTACCCAGGGCTGGCAGCAGCTCTTCAGTCCAGGAGAGGGGCTGCTGATTTGTCTCTGTTCTGCCCATTTCTGTTCTACTGACCATTCAAGATGCAGGTTAAATGCTAATTCACGAAATATTCCCTTCTGTGTCCCCCTCTGATCTTACTTACTTTACCACTTCTCACTATAAATATCATGTGCAGGTCACTTCTCTTTAATGTGAGCACTTACAGAAGCTCAACAACAATATCTTAAAATAGTGGTATTTAGAGATTTATCACGAGATAGGACAAATAATTTACTCTTAATAATAGTCCAAGTACACTGACTTGTGTATCTTAAAAGGGATTATTCTATAACAAGTACATTATATCTCAATAAAACCATTATACAGTTAAATTCATATTTGTACATGATTTACTTAACGTTAAATTTAAGCAAAGCCTGGTACAAATGGCAGATATAGCATATATACATTTGCCTCCTCTATTTCTTGAGACTTCATTTAAATGGCAGTAAAAAAAAAATAAAGAGAGTAAAATCAAAGTAGTGATAAGATTGGAAGCTGGGATCATGTTTGACACACTGAATTTCTGAATGATCAAAATGGAAGCAGCTATCGGCTTCCAGTAATTCATACTGCCCTTCCCTCAAGACCAAATGGTGAAGACAGGGCAAAATGGAAAATATACCTGATTGAAGGCATAGGAGAGTCAGCATGAGAGTGAAGAAATATTGAACCAAAGGCTAGGAGATGACAGAGATCCCAGAGAAGAATTCAGCATTTGAAACTACTTTTCTTCTGGGAGGCATTTGCCAATCCAGAAGGTAAGGCCGCAGCATAGAGCCCAGTGGAGAAAGTTGGAATCTTAACTAACTACCTGTCCCTCAACACATCACACTCTGACTTAGGGTCATCAGGAGCTGCTCTCTAGGAGAGAGTGAGCCAGGTGCAGACTGCTCTTACAGAAGCATCATCAGCTCTGACTAAATTAAAGTGGTTTGAGTCTATTCATGCCCATGGCAAATGTCTTACAGAGAAAGGCACATTATCCCTGTCCCAGATTCTTTAAAAGAAATGTTGCAAATATAATTTCCAATAGGCAATAAACAATCAACTAAGGAGAAAAACAAACAAAAACTATGAGTGAGAACCACAGTGTAGCAAAATTGCTAAAAACCAAAGAAAGGGAAACCTTAAAATCAGTCAGGGAAAAAGACATATCATTTTCAAAGGAACAAACTGTTTAACTTACAGCTCATCTTTCAAAAGAAACAATAAGATCAGAATATAAGTGCCATCTTTGAAGTGCTAACAGAAAATATCTCCAATATACAATTTTGCACCTCTCAAAAATACCTTTCAAGAATAAAAGCTGAAGTAAAGATATTTTCAATTAAACAAAAACTTACAGTAGTCTACCCACCCTGAAGGAGATCCTATGAAGTGTTCTTTAGGCAGACGAGAAATATACCAGAAGAGCAGGTCAGATGTGGGAAGAAACGAAGAGCAATCAAAATAATACAACAGTAATATCTTGTGAATTTAAAATATGTATGAAATTAAAATATACCACAATAGTGGCTATATAATCAAGGAGGAACACACACGCACACAGGAACATACACATAGATGTAGGTAGACAGTGTTTTAAGATCTTTGACTTCTTGAATTACATAGGAGGGGAGTGAAAGTACCAAGTGATATTTAGATTTTTATAATCCAAGAATGTATATTGTAATTTTTTGAGTGATAAAACAATAAAAGTATTTGTATGCACCTAATAATATAGCTTTAAAACACATAAACTTTACAATGCTAGAAATAAAAAGGAGAAATAGCCATATTTACAATTGCTGTGGGAAATTTCAATATACTTCTCCTGGGCTGGATATACAGCACTTGTCTAACATGTGTAAAGCCCTGGCGTCTTAAAACAAACAAATGAAAACCAACCCTCTCAAATAAAAACAAAAACATATGCTGGAAAACAATGATAAAAACAAATATTTCTTTTAACAACTGGTAGAAAGAGCAATAAAAAAGCAGTAAGAAAAGAGAAGATGATAGTTAACAAACTTATCCTTCTGTGTATTATAGAGGATTGAAGAAATACCTAATTTTTAACCGTATACAGACTATTTACAAAAATGTATCGCACATTTTTCTATATCATCTCAACAAATTTCAGAGGCTCCAAATCAACCCGGGTTACATAGTAAGCAAGGATAGCCTGAACTATATAGCGAGGAAAAAAAAAGTGATGTCATAAAAAGTTTCAGGCACATTTAGCTCCTAACCAATTTTAAAAATTAGGAAATAATTGATGTAAGTTTTATGCAAACTCTTACAGAGAAAGACAAATTAAGACATTATAAAAATAAGGAAACACGTTAATCTCATCATGAACATAATTTTTTTCATTAAGTTTATTGGTGCATTCAAAGCAAACAATACAGTTACATTTATCATTGGGATCTTGTACCTTTACATGGTATGTCTTGGTTCTTGTTTTTTCCCCATACCTCTGCCCACCCTTCACCCGCTTCATCCTTCCCTATTTACAAAGACTTTGTTTCCATTTTTTCACATTTTGTCTTTTCCCTTATTTTCTTTCCCCTCCCCTTCCCACTTCCCCTTTAGCCATAATTTTTTAATTAATAAATTTTAATTAACAAATTTGGCCAGGTGTGGCATATTCCTGTAACTTTGGGAGGCTGAGGCAGGAGGATCACAGGTTCAAGTTTTGCCTGGGCAACATAGTGAGACCCTGGCTAAAAAACCCCCCAAAACAAAAAGGGCTGGGGATCCAGAGTACCCTGGGTTAAAGCCCTAGGAACACACACACACACACATGCACACTAACTTCAACAATATGTAAAAGGATAACATAACCTCAGAAACCTTACAAGGATTTAAGGTTGGTTTAATATTAGAAAACTAGTGTAGTGCACTATATTAACAACATAAATGAGAAAAATCATAGGATTATTTAAATATACAAATAACTATTTCATAAAATTCACTGACTTTTAAGGAAATAACTTTTATGAATAGAAAAGAGCAACTAATCGCTTCTCGGCCTTTTGGTGAAGTGTAGAAAAGAGCAACTAATATAGCCAATGAATACTAAAAAATTTCTCTTTGTGGGGAAAGGAAATAAGAGACAAAAAAATATGAGAAAAGGAAAAAAATGGAAACAAAGTCTTTGTAAATAGGGGAAGGTGGAGGGGGTAAAAGGGAGGGCAGGGGTATGGGGAAAAAATGAGAACTAAGATCTGTCATGTAAAGGTACAAGATCCCAATGATGAATGTAACTGTACTGTATACTTAAAAAGTACCAGTAAACTCAATAAGATAAAAAAAAGATTGGGAAAAATTAAAAAATGGCCAATTATTTTTTTTTGTACTGGGGATCAAACTAGAGACCTTGCGCTTGCAAGGCAGGTGGCGGCACCACTGAGCCAAATCCCCAGCCTTAGATGACCTGTTATTATACCCTTCTTAATAAACCTTGCACTGAAAATCCTACCCAGATCATTGTGGTAGTTGCAGTTTTCCATCTAATCCTGTATGTCTGCCCTTTGGAACAGAATTCACTCTGCATTTGCTCCTATCAAGAGATGAATTCTCTTCGTTTATTTCATGAATTTGTCTGGCCTGGTGAACTGCTTTGTTTAAAAGAGTGGGGGAATTGACAATGTACCAGTTCTGATCTTCAAGAGATGCCTTCTCTCCTTTCTCTCACTCTTTCTGTTTCTCTCTCTCTTTCTTGAGTTTTCTGCCACTGCCATTAGGGAAAACAGCATGCTTGAAGATGAGACCATGTGGAACAGAATGAAACCCAGGTATCTGCACTGTGGCCCCAGATATGAGAGGCACTTGGCCAAGATAACTGCAGATGTACAAGTAAGTGTTGGCAAGTTCAGCTAAAATCAGCAGAAATATTCAGCTGAGCCATAGACATGCAAGAAATGTGTGGCTGTTTGGGGGTAGTTTGCAAAATAGCAATAGCTAATTGTTAAGGGCAGGGAGTAAGTAAAAAAGAAATGCGCTATAAAGATTGGAAAGAAGAAAAAAACTCTATAAGGTTATTTGCAAATGGTATAACTGCACAAAACTCAGCAGTATTAGAATTAATACTGTAAACTTATAAAAATTTATCAAAGTTGCTGGATTTCAAATACAAAAAATTGGTTGTATTTCCATAATGGCAATAAAGAAAAAACAGTTTACTCTGAAAATCTTTGACATAGGATTAAATTATACGTGGTACGTAGGAATAAAACTAAAAATCTCTGAAAGATTTTTCACATAAAACTAAATCATTACTGAGTGAAGACAAGTCATAATTAAATGGGATATATACTGTATTAGTCAGCTTTCTGTTGTGGGATACGATACCAAACACCAATGGTTTAAAGGAGGAAAGGTTAATCTTTCTTTAATCCTTAGATTTTCAGATAATTCAGTCTGTGGTCAGCTGGATCCAAGGTGGGAACATCATGGCAGCTGAGCATGGTAGGTCAAAACTACTCACTTCGTGGTGGCTGGGAACCAGGGCAAGGGAGCAGTGCCAGAGAGGGAAGGGGCCAGAAATCAAATATGGAGTGGGGGGGGATTTAGCTCCGTGGTTCCACCGTCTGCCTTGCAAGTGCAAGGACCCGAGTTTGATCCCTGGTACCAAAAAAAAAAAAAAAGAGAGAGAGAAAGAGAGAGAGAAATCAAATATTGAGTGATCACAAAATACAGTGAATATTTAAACTAAAGAATTATTACAGTAAAAAATACATTACCATTAATTCTCTTTAACTTCCCCCTTTGAACATATTTATCACATCACTGTTACCACTTTCTGAAAAAGTTCTAGAAATCTTCTTTTGTGAGTGTCTTTAGTTGTACTGTTGTGAATGACTCAATGTGCTGAATTGATTTAAAATATTTTCCTATTACGATCCTTTTGACTTTGGGGAAGAGCCAGAAGTTGCACGGTGCCAGATCTGGTGACTAAGGTGGATAAAGACACAACATAATGTTTTTTTATTTGACAGAAATTTCCATAAATGTTTTGAATCTTCAAGACATTAAGCCTCCCAGCCATGATAGCACAACTAATGACACTCACTAAAGAGGACTTTCAGAACTGCTTTAGAAAGTGGCAAGAATGATGGGACAAGTGTGTTTAAATTGAGGGAGAGTATTTTGAGAGGGATTAATGACAATTTGACTTTTATTGTAATAAAATTCAGTTGCTTTTAGTTACAAATCCACTATTTTTTTTATTTTTATTGAATTTATTGGCACATTCTAGGTATACAGTACAGTTGCGCTCATTACTGGGATCTTGTACCTTTACATGGCAGGTCTTCGTTCCACTATATTTTTTAAACCGTACCTCATATGCCATAATATCCTAGGCCACACCCAGACACACCTAGGAGAATACTTTATTAATCCTCTAGGTAGCTCATAAGCCAATCAAATTGACAATCCAACTTAATCTTATCATTGTATCCTTTTCAGTTTGACACCCAAGTATGTCTCCTAAAACCATAAATAATCTTCAAATAAACATGAGGTCATAATTTCACCTAACATGATATGCCTATTCTGCATACAACTAAGAATGTACTAATATTCTCTTCAAAGTCTTAACAGTCCCAGCATCGCTCAAAAGTCCAAATCAAAGTCTCTGAGACTCAAGGTAAACTTTCAGCTGTGAACCACTATAAAATTTAAAATGCAAGGGCTGGGGATTTAGCTTAGTGGTTCCACTGCCTGCCTTGCAAGCACAAGGACCAGAATTCGATCCCTGGTACCAAAAATAAATAAATAAAATAAAATGCAAGTTGTATATTCCCAATATGTAATGATATGGGGTTAACATTCCCATTCCAAAATAATATGGTAAAAAGAAAAGGACTAAAGTGAGACTGAAACTCAGCAGGGCAAACACTAAGTCCTGTAGCTGTATGTCCAGTAGTTGGGGTGATGAGATGTGAATTCCAAAGAGCTTGGATGGCCCCCTGACTATGGCATTGTAAGTTGCAGCCCACAAACCCTTTCTTTTGGGCTGCTCTATTTGCTGCCTACAGCTTTCCCTGGTAGATTTTTCATGTTTCTGGCATCTCAATCTCCTGGGATCTCCACTGCACCTATGGCTTCACTGCCACATCTTCACACATTGCCTACCCAGGGATATAATGCCTGGCCTCCCAAGTCTTCTTTTGAATCCCTGGTTGGTGGGTGTTTCCATGACCCTGCTACTCTTGTACTCTGCATACTTATAACACCATTACCATGTGGACAATGCCAAGGTATGCTGTTGTGAGCAGTAGGTGGGCCCCCTTGCATCATGGCTACAGAAGCCTAAGTGTCTGGATGTCTGAACACAGTGAAATGAATCTTAAAGAGGCAATTCACCGGGTAGATCTTCTCAAGCAGAGGGTACAAGAGCTCTCTTCTCAAATAAAAGGTTTATAGTTTTGAGCTTATGAGGGGTGGGGGTTTTTTGACACCTGATATGCTCTCAAGGCATTTTTCATCTTGTCCTGTTTCCAGGGATGTGGTGTCTTTTAAATGCTGCTAATCTCTTCAGCAATCCCACCACCTTTCCCCCAACTTTACACATAGTTCTTTAGGAATCAGAATTTAAGTTTTTCAGTACTTCTGTTCTGCTTTTTGTTACTGATTCCCACTATATATCTGGCTAAAAGCAGCCTGTAGTAACCATGCCACAATATGAATGTTGGCAGTGCTTTGAAATTCCCTCTGTTAGATCAATTAGTCTACTACCATTAAACTTAGCCTCCTGCAATCTCAGACCATAGGTAAAATTTAGACAATCCTTCTTTTGCCATAGTATAACATTCATGGCCTCTTGTCTAATTCCTAATAAAGTTCTCATTCCTAATTGAAACCACCTTCACCTGGTCTTTAATATACACATTCTTAGCAGCATTTTAGACTTTTGAGCTCTGAAGCAACATTGTCCACTAGGCTCTGGTTACAGTATATTAATTATCATCATAAAACCTTTCCAAACTCTCCTGCAAACCACTACCAAAGGCTTCTGAACTACACAGTCAGGTATAACCATAGCAATTGCTCCATTTTTTTTGGCACCAGCTTTCTGTAGTAGTTAACTTTTCATCTCTGGCACACAGTACTTGATGCCCATAACTTCAAGGAAGAAAGGTTTAATTTGGCTCAGAGTTTCAGATGCTCAGACCATGGTATTCTAGCTCCAAGGCAGGAACATCATGGCTGAAGGGTACAGTGGAGCAAAGCTGCTCACTTTGTGGAGGCCAGGGACCAGAGCAGGGCAGCAGCACCAGAGAGGAAAGGGCCAGGGCCCAGATATAGTATTCAAAGTCATGACGCTATGACCTATTCAGACCCACCCAGAAGTATGCTTTGCTCCTCCCCAGGCAGCTCACAAACTAATCATGTTGATAATTCAGTTTAGCTGTCACATATACCATATTCAATGATTAAAACTGTCAATATTGTAAAGATAACACTTCCTTCCAAAGTGACAGACCCAGGCCATCGCTCCAGTGCCAGGAGGGCCTGCTTGGGCCCAGACCTTGGGCTGGCTAGCCCCACTCTCCCCTGCTGGACCGCCGTCATCGCTCCAGCACCAGGAAGGTAGCCGTGCAGGTGCCCCTGTCCCCCACCCCACACTCTCAGATCTCTTGAGTGTGCCAGTCTTTGGACCCACTCTGCAGAGGCAGAGGTTGTCATAAAGGGTATTTTTCTGAGTTCCCAACTTTGAACATCTTTAAAGAAAGGGGGTGGGAAACCTGTAGTAGAACTGTGTGGAGTGCAACTGTTCAGGAGGTCAGGGAACTCAATCTGGGCCTTGCAGCCCAAGGTCAGTCTGTGTCATGGGGTTCTGCCATCAGCTAGCTGAGATCAGGTGTCTTGCATCCTAGCTCTGTCTGAGCCCCCATCCTAAATGGTAAATATACTATATTGAAAAGTTTGTTCCCTGCAGACATGTTTTGGACTGTTTCTTGATTTCAATTTAATTCACATAGTTTAAGGGTGATAGACTAGTGACTACCACAGGTGGTCAGTTTCCAAGTTGTGCTTGATCACAATGTGTTGCTGATTGTATCAGTTGGGATAAAGGATTGTGGTTGATTTGATGAACTGTTTTCTCTGATATTATGAAGATGAGAATGTCTGTGGGTCATTAGAGACCCAGAAGCTAGGGTGCAACTATATCAGGAAGATTTGGGTGATAACCCAGAGATTAAACCAAGGTCAGCCCGAGAACAAAAATAAAAATGAGAAAACACTTAAGCAAGACACAAAGACAGACTTCCAGTTCACGAATGGCAAACAGGAGGGCAAATGAGGATGAAGAGGCCGGTAGTGAGCCACCAGGACACCCTGAACTCAAAGTACAGGAAGTAACACAACAGATCAATCAGGCTCTAGAAAAATTCAAAACAGAAATAATTTCCCAGATAACCAGAGAAATGGTGAGCAAAATGAAAGTCATGATTCGAGACTCTAGAGCAGAAACTGACAAAAAAATAGATGAGGTCAGGACCATGATAGAAGCCATGAAGGTCCAGCATAAGAAAGAAATGGAAAAAATAAACACCCAACATAGGAAAGGAATGGAATCCATAAAACAGATTCAAACAGAAATCCAGGAGATTAAACACTCCATTGAAAGTGTATGCAACAGAATAAAAGAATATGAAGATAGAATCTCAGCTATAGAAGACAAGATTGCAGTCAGTGACCATGAAAAGAGAGGTCTCTTAAAAATAGCAGAGGATGAAAAAGGGCTGGGTATGCAGCTAAGTGGCGGTTCAGTCCCTCATACTGGAAGGAGAAAAGGACTGGATTGAAAAGTGAAAAGCTGTCCCCTATCTGCCGCGAAGTGAAGTGTCTTGCAGTTCAGTTCAGGCAGGCCCTGAACTCACTGTGTAGCCCAGGCTGGCCTCGAACTTGCGGTGATCCTCCTGCCTCTGCTTCCTGAGTGCTGGGATTACAGGTGTGCACCACCACACTCTGCAGGTTTCATAAGGTTGAACAGGTGACCCGGCGGGTGCGCGACCTCCTGGACTGTGTGACAAACACCCAGCAAGGACCCAAAGACCCCGGAGGGGGTCTCTTCAGCTGCCTGCCTGCCTGAGATCACCCAGCGGGTGCGCGACCTCCTGGACTGCACAACAGACCCAGTAAGGAAAGTAGCCGAGCGGGTACCCTTGAAACACCCCCACAACCTTCCCCGCCCCCGTTCTCAAACCTCCTGATTGGGCCAGTCCTTAGACCAACTCTGCAGAGGCATAGGTTCTCATGAAGGGTAGTTGTCTGAGCTCCCAACTTTGAACATCTTTAAAGAAAGGGCAGGGGAAACCTGTAATAGAACTGAGTGGAGTTCAACCCTGAGGGTAGGGAAACTGAAATTAGGCCTTGTGGACTGTGTTCAGTCTCAGTCGTGGGGAACTGCCATTGGCTAGTTGAGACCAGGGGATTCGGTTCTGCATATGGCTGTACATGTGGTATAATATGAGAACAGAGACAGTCTGAAAGAGGCCCTTCAAATTCTTTTTTTTTCTCTCTCTCTTTTTTCTTTTCCTCATTCCACCCTAAAATTCCTTTCTTTTTTCTGTCCTCTCTCTCCAACTCAGTCTCTTGCTCCACCATATTGTCCCTCATCTCACTTTTTATTCCGGCTCCTGCCCTAACTCAGACTTCTTCTTTTATTATTTTTTGTTTTTAGGAGGGGTTTCTCTTTGTTCTTTTCTCCAGTCATTTTACCTCACTCATGGCTCTGTACCTTCAAGGGAAGACAAGCACCTGTTATTGTTAAGGGG